GAACGTTTGGATGCAGTTGTAAGCAGAACGAAAGCACTTAGAGATGCTGTTGTAAGATCAAGTGCAAAGTCAGAATTCCGAACAATGTCCCAAGAGGTATGCAAGCCACTATGGTTGAAGAGGAGAGAACCTAAGAGTTAAATGAGATGTTCTCGTTCGTCTTTACTGTAACAACAAATAGGCCATATGCATCGCCTGTAACCTAGTAGCACATAGGACATAACATATTGAGGCTGATAGGCATCTCATTAAACAGAAGCTAGACAGTAGCCTGAAATGTACACCATACATGCCTACCAACTGACAACTTGCATACGTGTTGACCATTCTGGACTATCATTGCTAAGCTAGGGATTGGTTAATATCTACTTCCCACTTGAGAGGGATATTAAAGAATGTATTTTATATGTAATTAATCTCTGAAAATTAGGTTAAAAGGCATTGTGGTAAAATATATTCTATGTAATCAATTAATTATTTCCTTTCTTACTTCAGAAAACTTGTATATATAGGAACTTGATATTCAATAAGTACACAATATATTATTCCTAACACCAACTTTGGTGCACTATACAAGATTTTAAACGTTAGACAAGACACCAAAGTAAGAGCTGGGAGATTTCCATTCTTAATCCTCAAAAGGAAGTGAAAATAATTACTGACAAGCATCCTTCTTAATGGCTCCCAAGTTTTAAGTGGCTGCATGATTCCAAAATATAGCATCTACGATCTTGTTAAGGCATATATCCCAAAATATTTGATAATTGACTCACAGGTTGAAGAGATATATCAAGAAGTCAGTTTTCAAGTATGATCTGAATGTAACTAAAATCTATTACTCAATAGGAGTTGCCCCGTCTGGCCTAAGGATCAGCCCCTCTATCCTAGGACTCATGTGCTTGTAGCCTTAATATGCAGAATCATCAGGCAAATTATCATAACACCAGAAAAAAAATAGATTCTAGTTGGTTTCTAAAACACCAAATTAAACGTCAATCATCAACACGAAAATCAAGAGTTTAAGGTGCTTTCACGTAAGAATAATGAGGTAACTCAACAAAGAGTATGTTGATTAAACCCTTAACAAGTTTTTAGAGAAATCACCTCGATCACATCTAACATCCATTAGAAGTTTTAAATCCTTTTCAAGCTTTTAGAGCAATTCCCTTCAGTTGTATACAACATCCAGTGGAGGTCCTAAACCCTTCTCCCAAGATTTTTAATTAATCCCTCACCTCTCCCTCTCATGCTCACTATGAACAATCAAAACTACCCACCATCAGTTGCAGTACCACATCTCCCATGAATTCCATCTCCAAGTAATTTTTAGCACCTTATTCATCACCATTATGAGAATCACAATCCCTACCATCTCCACCTTTGTCCTATTTGAAAACTTGGTATCCACCCGCAACTCATCAATATCGAAACCATCATGAAGAGAATATTTGAAACTATAACTACCAAGTACCAACTAGTAACAAATCATAACAATTTATTAAGCTTCTTACTCAAGCTAAACAATAGGCAGAGGAAGATGAATAGCTTAATTTATTAAGTACATGCACAAAGTGGGATAGTAATGTAATGCAAAAGGGAACAGGAAAAGAGACAATTATCTTAACATGAGCAGAGGCATAAAATATTATTATGTTGCTCAAGCATCTTGTATAAGCAATGAACTTCTTCAAATTCACATGAAATTTAGCTCTTCTTCAAATCGCAAACAGCAGCTAAAATGTAATTTTAACTTACAAAGTAAACTTTACTAGACAACGTTTGCCAGCTTTCAAAAATTTCTCTCAATTCGTCTATAGATTGAGCTAATTCTTGAAACACCTTGTTGAACACTTCACTGGAAGCAATTTCAGAGTCAACAATGGCATCAAGTATGGGCTTCAACAACTTCAGTATCTCTTCTACTCTCTGGTAATACTTCTGAACCGGGTCGACATTGATGTTGTCCAAGGATGAGAGACGTAGAAAGGAGGAAATGTTACTGAGAAGCACTTTTAATAATGATAGCTCCATTAAACCTGTGACATTAAGAATCATAACTAACTTGAAACAGAAGAGAAGGTAAGGGAGAAAGTTAGCACATACTAACCAAACTAAAATAGATGCAGTAGCAAACACATTGTACAATTTAAAGCTCATTTAATGCTATACAATCAAGACCTAAGATATCCTGTCAAAAACAGCAAAAGAAAAGGAAAAAAAAAGAAATAAAATCAAGACAAAAAGTAACTTGATCCCTTAGCTAAGTAACGAAAGACATCCTCCTTTACAAAGTAGTTAAGCACCTCCCTACCTGACTCTAAGCTTTTGGCCAAAGAACACCATCCTGTTGCAAAGCATATTTAGTGACTAAAATACTATCACTTGAAAGTTCTAGCATTCTATTCCAACCTAGAACTTAGTACTCAGCAAAAATGGCCCGCCTTCGCAGAATCTTATTCCTCCAAAAACCGCACAAAGTAGTAGATATCAAGATATCCAAGTTAAGGAATCTGAGCTTAAAACACACACCAAACCACTACTTGGAAATAAAACTCAACAAGGCCTATGAGCCTGCGGAAAGTCACTATTGTCAATCCTACTTAGGACTGCAGTCTAACAAAAACTCTAACCTTACACAGAGATTTCACCTGCCAAAAGGAGAGAAAGAAAGCCGCATTTTGACTTATAGGCGACACAGAAAAACTCAAAAAAGGAGATCCTGTTTCGTAATTCCAGTGTCTCCAAAACCACTTTATTCCACTCTTCTAACTTTTTAATATTTTCAACTTCCTTCTCAAAGATATACTCTTCCCAACCCTCTTAAAGAAACTACTCACATAAAGACTAAATTCTAAAAAGGACTGAGAAGTGATCCAACATTGCACAAGGTAGAGATTCAAGAAACAAATCAAGAGAACTCTCTTCCCATACATGAGACAACTGTGAATGATACTTCCAAGAAAAACATGACCCTACCATAGAAATGGAGCATGTAGATCCTACAACTCACTTCTAGAAAAACTTAATAAAGAGTCCCATGCTAACAATGAACCTAACCCCTAGCTTCTAAATAAAACTCCCACAAGCATTGCAATCTTCCCTGAGAAACTAAAAAGGAAATGCAGCCCAGTTAAAGACAACTCTTCCCATAAGAAAACCCTCAATCTTAGTGACATAGGACCATAAACATAAGTGAACTACCTCTAACATTAAACGACTAATCATAAAAAGAAATCATCGATGGTGCTTCCGAGCGAGCCTAACCTGTTGATCTAAATTAGTAAATAACCCCATAAACATTAGTAGAAGGACACCAAACCCAACCCTTGAGCCAAGAGTTGCACAAGCTTCTATCAATAATAATATCCATGCAATCCCTCCTAGTCTCCTTTAAAATAACCACATTATTCACCCTAAGGATACCTTTTTTAACTTTTCTCTAATTCATCAAATTTCCTAAACCATTCAAAATCCAAGTGGCAATCCTCATGATACAACAAAATTACCAAGGAAATTTTAGGCCAACATAATGAATCATGCTTACCAATCTTTATAGCTCAATTTTTATCATCTTTTTTTTAATGAAAAGCTATAGTATTAAGGCACCAAGAGGACGCAACCCATAATACAAACTTTTTACAAGTCTACCAACATGTCAATAAAATCCCCTAAATCCTAATTAGAGAGAATTACCTCAATAAAAAACTTAGACTCTGAAGCCAAGTATTCTTGATTCTATCAAAAGAAAATTATATGTGGTCAAAAGCTCTTCTATTTCTTTCCTTCCAAAGTAATAATAATGTAGCCAAATGAATAAGACTAACACTCTTCTTGACAGTGTTACCCCCATGGATACCTCTCTCTTATTGAACCAAGTATTGCTTTCAAAGCTTCATTCTCCAATAGTAAATAAGCAGCTTAAATCCTTTTCAACTTAAGAAATAAAATTCTCCTCATTAAAAAAAATCCTCTTCATTGAACCTCTCATCAAACTAAACAGAAGCATTAGTTGAGACAATATCCTCACTACCACCGTCAGATTCTTCATCCTGCTAACATTGGATCTTTTATTGCTCTCCAAATATGATATGATCATTTCCCATCGACCAAATTCCTTCTCCACGGCTTGAACAGACTTCATTCCCATTATAAAATCTATTCAACCAGCATTTCAAGCAACCATAACCTCTTACATGCACCCCAATATCATTGTTTCCCTATCTGCATTCTTTCTGAAGCCAGCCCAAAATTAGCTAAAACAATTAGCGAGCACATTTGCTTGAGTTAGAGTTCAAAATCTGAGCAAACTCTGTAGAATCACTGGCAAACCAGATCAATGGTGCGGCCCAGTTCATTGGGCTATCTGAAGATCTTTTATTCTCTGAGTTGAAACAGGACCAATCTTTGTAGAGCACTATGTTTTTGGGCCTACAAGGGTATGAGGTCAAGTGTATCAGAAATTAAAGTAACTATTATTTTTCTTTTTCTGCCAATATGCAGATGGCCAATATAAATGACGAAAACAAAAATCGAAAACACCATTTTCACCAGAACCTGTAATTCCTGACACCATTGAGCATTTCTCATGTTAGTGATCCTTGATCAACCATATCATGATGTACAAGTGAACCAACAAAAGAACCTAGGCACCCGCATTTTTAAAGATCAAAGACAATCATACCTTTTCATTCTAGGGTTCCTAATATTAGCCCTGAACAAAACCAAAAAAAGTGTGAAATTCAGGAGTTTCAATTAGACGGGAATATATTAGGACCATGTATTGCACCTGCTATAATCTTGGATCCTATTGTCGGTTCCTCAGCCCCGCCCCAAAAAAAAAGCTGGAGAAATCATTCAATTTGTTCCAATTTTATGGTTAATGTTTAAGTGAGGCCCTTTAATATCTTAATCATCCAAGCTATACTGAATTAAGCCCTTTTTTCAGAATAACTGAACTAAGCTATTATCTGACCCAATGATTTTTGTTGTAGACACAATTGAAGCACACAAAGCTTCTAAGCTTACTTAAAAGCTACTGTTAAGAATATAAGAATCTAGTCCTACTTGAACAACATAACTTTATCATCTTCTTTTTTTCTTTTTGAAATAAACATAACTTTATCATCTTCATCAAAACATAAAGAAAACTCCACCACGTTCACCAATTTATTACATGAAAACCTAACTTTTGGTTGATAGTTAATAGTAAGTTATTTCTTTGTCTATATAGAACACCTTGAAAATCGACCCTCACCCATTAAACAAAGAATCTTTTCAATAAATATCTTCCAAATTTATAAATCCATAAAATAAGCTTTAAAACGTCGTTTTGCGATTAGCTTTTTGGTTGGATATTACATCAAATCCATTTGTAAAGAAAATCACATACTCCTTATTTATAACATAAAATGGACATTATGTGGTCCAATGCTAGAATCAAGGTGGCAGGAGGAACCAGAAACAGCATGTATTTTTGAATAATGAAGATCTCATAATTAATCAACCAAATTATAACAAGAACATTGCTAAAATAATTTAACCAATAACATGTTCTGAGAAGAAAAGATGAAATTCATTAGGGAGCACCAAGGAGATCCAACCCAAATACAAAAGAGAGAGAGAATTTTAACAGACAACTTTTAAAAATAATTGGCCATTCTGCTTAGATAGAATCCGGAAGTGTGATTGTAATCGAAGCACCAACAGCACTCCAGTTTCGAACACTAAAGTCTAATTTCAAATGGTTGTGTGTATTAAGATATTAGTAAGCACATCGATATTAGATGCAAATCCAGGAAATCATATGCCAATTCTAATCATTTATTAAACTTGCTTTATTACTAAACAGTAACCCTAATTCTTCATATAAATTAGAAACTACAATCCACAAAACTGATAACCTAGATATGCCAGAACGCCTTATGATCTTTAAAGACACAGAATGGAGAAACATACTTCTTAAAACCTTCCGGTCTAAATATTTTACAGCATCCTTCGATAGTCCAGAAATATTTCCTAAGAAAAGTCTGCTAATATGTAAGTTTTAGTTGAGCCTGCAAATAAGCCAAAAAAGAATTCCTTAGGTACTGCCAGTAACCATAAGAATACAAACAAGAAACTAAACAAATGCACATGTGGAACATGAATGCATGCACACGTATGAAAAGGCAGCATCAATGATGCACAGAAGTGCCGGTATCTTGAAAAAGGAAATCAGGTCAGCATGTAAATTGTTGTCATATTTAAGTGTCTATGTGGTGATCCACTGACTTACTCTTAATTAAAATGGTAAAAAACATCTTAGAGGTTAAATTACTTATTTGATACCCTATTCCAGAAGAATTATAGAGGGATTGAATTCTTCACATAGCCATTGATTGGATAAATGACAGTAAATATATCTATGCTGCGAATATTACTTTCATTTCATCCTCCGAAACATGATTGACTAGGAGCAGGGAATAAAACAAACACAGCAAATTTAGTAAGTAATGACCTCAATCCAAAGCACTATAACTGCACAACAAAATAATATGCAGCATATTTAGTAAGTAACGATCCTAATCAGCATTATAAAATGCACAACAAAATAGTATACGTAAAATTTCCCCACTTCCTATAATTTAATCATTTTAAAATCAATTAAAATCAAAATCCATTTTTATCAAAATAATTGGAAACCAGGAAAAAAAACACATTTGGGATCTGAATCCTAAATGCGTCAAATGACTAGGTTATCGTAAGTTGCAACTTGTAAGCCCTTGGACCATTTCCCTCCTACCTAAAGAAACAAATAGAACAAATATCTTCTCACGAATAAGCTTCATAGAATCCAAATAAATAAAATCATCTTTACAGATACAATTGGAAAACATGAAGGAAAACATCCCTGCAATGTGAAATATGATCTTATCAACACGAATAGGCAGGTTAACGTGTGCCTAGAACTTCCTGTACCCTAACCAAAAACTAAACGAAGTCCATGTAACATTCTGAAAATTCACCTATACATATGGTCTATATACATATGTGCATGCGGATGACTAAGCTGATCATTTTGTTCCAAAAAAACGCAGGAAACAAGAGTCAAAATTGGAAACCAAACCTAAGCTAACTTGGAAATGCTCCAAATTTTTAGGGTTGCGCAACAAATTCCTAAAAAATGAATTTAAATGAGAGAGAGAGAGAGAGAGAGAGAGAGAGAGAGAGAGAGAGGCATACACGCATATTTGCCTATTCTACAGAGCGAAAGTGCCTGAAAATTACGAAGAATAATTAACAGAAAGGACCGTCATTGAATATTCTGAAGG